GGTTGGAGGGTGGCGGGGACCCCGGCAGGAGGTGGTGGCGTCCCCGGCGGCAGGACGAGCATGGATTGGGGCACCGAGTTGTGGGTGAGTCCTTTCTTCCCAGCTCACACGGTTCTCCCTTGCTGGGGTCCTGGCCTCTCCGCTCTTTGTCCCCTATGTACCTTTGCCGGGACTCTGTGGTTTCCCTCGCAGCTGATCCTGCGGGTCCCCGCCTTCTGCCTTCAGCACTCTCTCAAAAGTTCCTTGGGGACTTTCTAGATGCTCAGAGGGCCCTAGGGATACTTTGCCTAGGACCCGTATAGGGAAACTGAGTCACAGAGTTGAGAGTGAGGCCATCACAAGAAGTCCCTAGACCAGGCCAGGAAGGGGGGGGGCAGCTGGGCGAGGTCACCTATTTTGAGCGCCCTGGCCTGGCTTGGAGGCTAATCTTACGGCCCCTGGGTCCCTGCCCGCCGCCCGGCTGGGAGGGGGAGGGGGGCCCCTTGGTCACCTTCTCTCCCACGTGGGGCCTCACTCGGTTGCTTCCCCGCTTGCAATTGCCCTAAAGGGCTTGGGACGCTGAGGGGGAGGGGAAGGGGGCTGCAGGACTCGGCTGGGCGGAGCCACCCCTTACCCGCCACTTAACCTCACCCAGGAAGCCCTAGAAGTTTCCCTGAATCCTTGTTGGACTATTGACCCCTCCTCTTTCTGGAGGCGGTGGAGTCTTCGGGTGTAGTGGAGGCAAGCCACTGTAGTGGAGGCATCACAGAAGCGGGGGAAACTGAGTCACACCCCGGGGATCGTGGCAAATGGGGAAATCTGGCCATTGAGGTTCCCTCCTTCCACGCACTTTGAGCTGCACAAACCCTTCCCTTCTGTGCCTGTCTTATGTGCCAAGCCCGCTTGATTTTCCGGAATTTGGGGGATTAGAGGGTTCGGAGGGAGCTGGAGTAGCTTAGCCTCCTCCCACACCCTCGTTGGCCACCCGGATTCCAAGAGACCCCGCCGTCCGGTTTGGGGCCCTGGCGCTGTTGTCCAGGCCCTTCCCGGGAGGAGGAGATGGGGGTTCCCGCCAGCTTCCTGCCTCCCCCTGCGCCACGCCGGGGCGGCGCCTGGGGAAGCCAGCCAGT